AAAAAAAAAAAAAAAAAAAGAATTTAATTCAAAGCTATTCATGTTAACAGAAAATGATTTTAAAATAACAACATGTTAAAGAAAACAGGAAATGATAGACAAAATGGAGGAAAAGATGCAGAATTTTAATTGGAATGTATAAAAAAGAATCAAAGGAATATTCTAGAGCTGAAAAATATACTGTCTGAAATTAAGAAGTCATTTGATGTATTTAATAGGATATAGCATAAAACAGAATTAGTAAACTTGAAGACAATCAATGAAAAATAGCCAAACTTGAGCACAGAGGGAAAAAAGAATGGGGAAAAAACAGAACAGCAAAAGAGGCATGTAGGACACAATAAAAAAAAATCTAACATTTGTGATTGGAGTCCCAGAAAGGTAAAAAAGAGAGAATTAGATAGAAGCAATATTTGAAAATGACCAAGAATTTTCTAAAACTGAAGAAAAATATCAATCAACAGATTCAGTAAGCCCAGTGAGTCAAGAAGGACTTTTTAAAAAAAATCAGCCTCTGTTCAAGAGGTTTGAAGGGAAATGATATTCTAAGTAGACAACCAGGTTTTATTGAGGACAAGTAGGTGAAGTTCAAAAGAGGTTAAATATACAGAGAAATCTGTGATGAAAGATTATGTATTCCAAAGCTTGCAGAAGATGGGTTTTAGAAGAGTGCTAGGCCTGGCAAATGGGGTCAGATAAATAGATGTTTAGGGATACGAGGCACAATGGGATTCATCCTGACAGTCTCGTAGGGGAAGCGGGTAACAGGGTTAAGGCGGGTGTGCAGGGCCCCAGAAGACTGCTCTCTTACCCCTGCTGGTAATGTGGTAGCAGAGGTGGGTCAAGGACTCCTCAGGAGAATATCATCTTAGGCAATGTGGAGCACTTCTGAGGACTTCTTTTCTCTGGGGGCAGAGGAATATGGTAGGCTGACGAGGAAGGAGTGCTCTCACCCAGAGGAGCAACCAGGGATGCCTCTTGCAGCTTTGTAGAGTTATGGCAAGTGGAGAGCAAGCCGAGGAGAGGCCATCCCTTCCCTGATGTTCCCTGACCCTCAAGCCGAGGAGAGGCCATCCCTTCCCTGATGTTCCCTGACTCTCAACTCAAGTCCACTTCTGCTACCTGCTCCATGGCCAACCTGGACTGAGTCATCACTCAGAATGGCTTTATCCTGAATCCTAAATACAACATTGCACTTTCTGACCCCTCCCTCCTACTTTTCCAGCTTTCTCATTCAATTACTCCCTCTACCGCTCTTTACTCACCCCTTAGGAACCTCCACTTTCTACACATATATCAGTATCAGGTCTTGTTCTCATTTCCCACCCAGTCCTTAGAGTCCTTGGCCCATCACTTCAGACACTCTCAAAAGCTTCGCTCCCTCACCACTGCCCTTCCATTCTATATGCCTGGCAAACTCCTATCCTGGATGAAGTCAACTCTTACTTCTGTACCTACATCTGGTTTACTGAGTGCTACTGGAGAAAATCACACAACTGGGAAGATGAGTACCATGCTCTCTACATATTTTCAAATATAATTGTATAGAGATAAAATATGAATGAAACTCATCATAAAAAATTAAAACAATAGAGATGTATATAGAGTAAAAAATTAGAGTTCTCCCCTAAAACCATCCCCCAAAACATTTGCTCTTAAGAGTTTGGCATATGTTCTATGCATCTATTATTGTCTTAAATATACTAAATATAGATAGATATACTCACATACACATACACATACATATAAACACACACACACACATATATACACACATATACATACATATACGAAATCAGATAGGTAACTTAGACTGTAGTAGACACTTTGGTGGGTAATTTGCATTTGTCTTTTTTCTTCTTTTAAATTTAATATGTCTTGGCAAGCTTTTCTTCTCAAAAGGTACAGATATACTTTATTCTACATAATATCCCATTCCCTTGTTCACATTTAGGTTATTTATATTTTCACTATGTAACAATATTATAATGAATATCCTTGTACATCTTTCTAAGCACATGTGCAAGTATATCTCTAAAGTAGATATAGAAGTGGAAATGCTTGGTCACAAAGGATATATGTTTTTAACATTTTAATAAATACATACTTCTACATTACCATCCAAAAAGGAGGGGAACTGTACCAAATTGCCCTCCCAACTACATAGGAGTGTTACTACCCTAGCTGGGCTCTCAACACAGCTCGGCTCCTTCTCTTTCCTTCCCTAGACTTCTCTCTCCCTCATTCTCCACATAACTTATCTCTGCCCAAAACCCCTTCTGCACCCTCTATCCCCACCCAAACATACACATCCTTGGCAAATATCTCACCAAATATTTGTAGAGAAAACAGAAGTCATCAGAGAACTTTCTTGCCTTCTTATCCCCAAACCTACAAAACCTACCCACCCCTATCCTGTACTCCTTCCCTCCTATTATAACGGGGGAGGGGGGGCGTCTTTCCTCCTGTTTAAGGCAATACTGGTTGTGGTTGTAGGGTCCTTCCTTTCACACAGGGCTGCCTACCTTCCGTATAAAGCTCTCAGCTTCCACTCTTTTCTCAGTTAACCTCAATCTATCTTCTGCCTTCATGGCTCCATGGAAACCCCAGGCTCACCTTGGGCCAAATGCACTGCACCCCTTCATGTCCTTATCTTGGGTGACACCACTGTCCACTCTCTTCATAAAGCCACAGTCTCCTGATTTTCCTCCTCTGTCTCTAGGGCACTTCTGTCTCACTTCTCCTCTTGTCCAAACCTTAAAAACTGGAGTTTGGGGTTTCTGTGCCGGCGTCCTGTGCTCTTTTTCCCTGGGAGATGTCCCCTACTGCTCCCTTTCAGCCACCATCACCCTTCTGTCTTCTCCTCTCTGATCTGTATCCTCAGCCCAGACCGCCGACCTTTCCAAATCTGACGTCCTTCTCTCCCGTTCTGCTCCTCGTGCCCTCCACGCCCTCTCCCCCCCAAATCCTAGCCCCTCCTCTGGGAAATCTCTTCCGACTCCTCCCTCTTCTAACTCCGCCGCCACGTGGCTCCGGTATCTCGCAGACCTGAAGAATGTAGTTCTCCCTGAAGTAGCTCCTCAGCCTGGGGCTGGCAGTGCGTAGCGAGGCCACGGCCAGAGGCCCAACTGAAACTCTGCGCCCCGGGCCGGCTCTCCACGCTCTGCGCAGTAGGAGCCGCGCCCCGGCTAAAGGCTAGCGCGTCCCGGCGTTGCCCGGGCAACCACGGGACACGGCGTGGAGGGGCATGGCGCAGCGAAGCCCCGCCCCTGTCTCCCGGGCGGCCTGGAGCCAGGCGGGCCTCGGGCCCCGGCGGGACGGGCCCGGGCTCAAGCGAGGGGAAGCCGGCCTCGGCGCGGCGGCTGCCCCCGGTGTGCCCCGTCGGGGCGCGCACTCCTTGCAGCTCTTCACGGCGTCCGCTCCCCTCACCCCGGCCCCCGCCCCGCCTCGCCTCGGGGCAGCCGCCTGGACGCGTCAGGCCGGAGGGGGCGGTCTTACGCTGGCGTCGTTTCCGGGAGGCGGAGCTCAGACCCCCGTTTCCTTTCTCCGCGGCCAGGTCGCGCTCGCACGGCGGTCGACCGCCCTGCTCTGGAGACCCCCGTCCGCGCCGGTGCGTACAAGCCGCCCGCGCCAGGCCCCCAGGAGCTGCGCCGCGGCCCCCGGCAGCAT